ACAGGCATGTGCCACCTCACCCAGCTAATTTTTATACTTTTAGTAGAGATGGGTTTCACCATGTTGGCCAGGCTGGTCTCAAACTCCTGACCTCAAGTGATCTGCCTCCGTCGGGCTCCCAAAGTGCTGGGTTTACAGACATGAGCCACTGTGCCCAGCCTTATTTAGAAATTTCTTTAGTGAAAGATGATAAATTTTCAGTTTTTCATTATCTGAACATGTTTCTATTTAGCCTTTGTTCTGAAAAGATGCTTGGACTCAGTACCCAGTTCCAGATTGACAGTTAATTTTTCTTAATTTATAAATGTTGTCTCATTGATTGACTTCCATTGCTGTTCTGAAAAATTTATCAGCAGCCATTTCTGTACAGGTGATCTGTCTTTTCTCTTTGAGACAGAGTCTCTCTGTCACCCAGGCTGGGGTGCAGTGGCGCGATCTTGGCTCACTGCAACCTCCGTCTCCTGGGTTCAAGAGAGTCCTCTGCGTCAGCCTCCCAGGTAGCTGGGATTACAGGAACCCATCATCACGCCCAGCTAATTTTTGTACTTTTAGTAGAGATGAGGTTTTGCCATGTTGGCCAGGCTGGTCTCGAACTCCTGACCTTAGGTGATCCACTCGCCTCGGCCTCCCAAAGTGCTGGGATTACAGGCATGAGCCACCACGCCCTGCCTGATTATTTTATCAGACAGGATTCATTTAGATTTACCATCAAAGTACCAGTTCCTTTGTTTACCTTTTCTTGCAATGCCAGTCTTCTCTCTGGAATGACTTTTCTTCTTCCTGAAGAATATTATTTAGAAGTTTTTTTGTTTCTGTTTCTTTGTTTTTTGAGACAGGGTCTCACTCTGTTGCCCAGGCTGGAGTGCAGTGGCATGATCTTGGCTCATTGCAGCCTCCACCTCCCAGGTTCAAAGCGATGTCTCCTGCCTCAACCTATTCCCTAAGTAGCTGGGGGGGACTATAGGCGCGTGCCACCAAACACCCTGGGCTAATTTTTTGTATTTTTAGTAGAGATGGAGTTTCACCATGTTGGCCAGGGTGGTCTCAGTCTCCTGACCTTGTGATCTGCCTGCCTTAGCTTCCCAAAGTGCTGGGATTATAAGCATGAGCCACTGCACCCAGCCATAAATTTTTAAAATTTATCCTGCTTAGTATAGATCGTGTTTCTTATATTTATGAATACACGTATTTTCATCACTCTTGGAAGTTTCTTAGTTATTATCTCTTCGAACATTGCTTCTCCTCAGCTATTTTCTAGTCTCTTCATCAGAACTCTAGTTAGGCAAATGTTAGATTTCTTGTTTTGCATTTTTAATTTATCTTTCATAGTTTCTTTCTTCCTGCTCCATGCTCCATGCCCAGGTTTTTTGTTTTGTTTTGTTTTGTTTTTTTTCAATTTTCTGTAAAGACAAGTTCTCATTGTGTTTCCCAGGCTGGTCTCAAACTCCTGGTCTCAAGCAATCCTCCTGCCTCAGCCTCCAAAAGTGCTGGGATTACAGGCATGAGCCACTGCATCTGGCCTCTGGATAATTTCTTTAGATCTGTTTCGATTCATTAGTTTGCTAATCGGCTACTAATCATTGTCTAATCTGCTATTTAAACTGTACATTGAGGTTTTTACTTCAAACATTAAATATTTCTTTAAGTTTTATTTGATTATTTCTCCAGTCTGCCTGGTCATATTGATAATTTCTTGTTCCTTGCTTAATTTTTCATTTCATCTTTTAAGGTATTTAGGTGCTTCATAAATAATCATTTTATATTCCATAACTGGGCTTAAAAACAAAAACAAAACAAAACAAAAAACAGGGTCTCACTTTGTCACCCAGGCTGTGCGGCAGCATGATCACGGCTCACTGCGTGCGCAAACTCCCAGGCTCAAATGATCCTCTCACCTTAGCCTCCTGAATAGCTGGGGCTACAGGCACATGCAACCACACCCAGATATTTTAATGTCTGAAATTCTTGAAGGTCTAAAACTGTTGTTTGTAGTTGTTATTTACTGTTTCATAGTGGTTGGTTTCCTTGGGGTTTTTTTTTTGTTTTTTTTTATTGTGAGCTCATGTTGCTTTGAATGTATTCTTTTGGAATCCTGAGGGCCTAAAATGGATATGTTTTCCTCCAGTGATGATTCGGTCTTGTTTCTGCAGGAATCAGGCATATTAATGATCTGTAACCATTTATTTTGTTCCCTTTACTGAAGAGTGGATCCCAGGTTTAATTAAGGATTTTCAAATTCAGCCTCCCCATCCTGTTGGGGGGCCTGAGGTTTATTCTCCTGACACTGCATTTGCTTTCAGGACAACTGTACCTTCTCCGTTTGCTCACTTTCCTTTTTTTCTTGCTCAGGATTTTAGCTTATTGACCTTTTTCTTTCTGTCTGTCTTTTTTTGAGAGAGAAGGATAGGATATGGGTAGGGAATTCTTCAAGTAAGTGAAGCAATGCATTAAAAGTGATTTCTTCAAGTAAGCCCAAGCAATGCATTAAAAAGTATGTTCCAGGTTCAAGTCATATTTTAACGAGAGAACCCTTAAGAATATCTACTCTCATGGTACTGCTGGAAGCAGAAGTGAATGCCACACTTTGTACCTCCAGGAGTTGGCGCTGTCATAGTTAGGAGTATACTTTAACCCAAGGATATTGCTATAAATGAAGTATTTTTTTATGCTTGAGAGAAACTAAAATGTTAGGAAAATCAGGGCCGCTGTGACTCTCTTGACCACTGATTGGGTTGGATGAGGGTGGGTCTTTTCTACAATTTATTCAGTGGAAACTAATCTGAAATTGGGGTGGGGTGAACTTTTACAGGGTGATGTTATAGGTCTGGAGCGGGGCGGGGGAAAGACCGAGGTGATGGTGATGGAAGGTGTGACTACTGTTGCCTACACACTGGATGAGGGCCTCATCGAGTTTGGAACAGCCATTGATGATGGCGACTACATCCGGTGAGAGGCTGGCCAATAACCTGGGACGTGGTGGGAGAGTCTGGTTCTGAGAGGGGAGGACCTGGGGTGGGGTGTAAAACTGGCCAGCACTGATAAGGATCCAGTGATCCTGGGAGGCGATGAGACAAAGATGGCTCTTCTCCCTCCCCTTGCCCCATCACCGGTATTCTGCTGTATCTTCCTAGCCCATTCCTTATTCATTATGCTTTGCTTCCTTCCCTTTCCAGGGCAACAGCCTTCTTAGAGACTCTGGAAATGACCCCAGAAACAGAGGCAATGTGGAAAACCTTGAGTAAACTGGCACTAGAGGCAAGGCAACTACACATTGCGGAGAGGTGAGCTAGACGTGTAGAACAGGGGTGCCAGGTAGCTAGGAGGGATGACCACATGAGTATTTTCCCTGTGGGCTGCTCCAATCCAGTATTAAGGTACTCCCTACCTTCCCACTGCCAGCAAATAACATAGAGCCCTTCTGCAGTACAATATTCCAAACACTCTCCCATCCTAGATTATAAGAGTATGCCTTGACCGGGTGTGGTGGCTCACGCCTGTAATCCCAGCACTTTGGGAGGCCGAGGCGGGCAGATCACAAGGTCAGGAGTTTGAGACCAGCCTGGCCAACATGGTGAAACCCCATCTCTACTAAAAATACAAAAATTAGCCAGGCGTATTGGCGGGCGCCTGTAATCCCAGCTACTGAGGAAGCTGAGGCAGGAGAATTGCTTGAACCCAGGAGGCAGAGGTTGCAGTGAGCTGAGATGGCGCCACTGCACTCCAGCCTGGGCAACAGAGCAAGACTCTATCTCAAAAAAAAAGAGTATGTCTTGGCTGGGCACAGTGACTCATGCCTATAATCCTAGCACTTTGGGAGGGTGAGGCAGGCAGATCACTTAAAGCCAGGAGTTTGAGAGCAGCCTGGCCAACATGGCGAAACCCCAGCTCTACTAAAAATACAAAAATTAGCCGGGCATGGTGGTGCAAACCTGTGGTCCCAGCTATTCAGGAGGCTGAGGCACAGGAATCACTTGAACCCGGGAGGCAAAGGTTGCAGTGAGCTGAGATCATGCAACTGCACTCCAGCCTGGCTGACAAGCGAGACCGTATCTCGAAAAAAGAAAAAGTGAAAAAACAAGAGTATGTCTTTTATTATTTTTACTGCCCCTTCTTGTAACTAGGTTCCCCTTAACATTTTTTTACTATTCTTACCCTTCAATCCATGCCTATGTGTATAATCGAGGTTTGGTATAGGAGTGTAGTTCACAGGACAAACTTGGGACTCCAGACTCCTTTAGTTCAAATCTTGGTTCCAATTACCAACTTGTATAACCATAGAGAGGTTATTTGACCTTCCCAAACCTTGGCTTCTTGATTTTCTCCATGTAGACTAGGATAATAATAGTATTTGCCTCATATGATGATAAAGAAGATGGTAAGGATATTGGTAGTGAGGGAGTGATGAAAGAATCTGTGCAAAGTGCTCAATAAATGTCATCTGCTGCCATTTTGGCTAGGAATCATCCTTGATCCCATTTTGTCCACACTTCCCACGTGTAGATTATCAGCAAGTCCTAACGATTCTGTCTTCAAAACACATCCTGATGTCTCCATCCTCGTGCAGACCACTGCCATCTCCCACCTGCAGTATTGCATAGCCTCTTAGTCTCACTGATACTATTTCTTGTACCCCTACCATCTATTCATCCCAGAGCAGCTGAGGTCATTTTTTAAACATAGATTGTGTCATTTTCACGACTGGAACCTTCCATTAGCTTACTGTTTTACTTACTATAAAACCCAAACTCCTTGTATGGCCTTACCCCTGAAGTTTTTTGACCTCTGCTTGTTTCTCATGCCAGTCTCCTACTTGGCCATTAGTCTCCAACCACACTGGCATCCTTCTGGCTCTGTGAGCGTGCCAAGCTCACACCTGCTATAGGCCTTTACACTAGCTGTTCCCTCTCCAGGAATGACTTTTCCCCATCCTGCCATGACTGGCTTTTTCTTGTATTCAGGTCTCAGCTCAAATGTCAATTCATCAGAGAGACCTTCTCCAACTACCAAGTTAAGTGGCCCCTTCAGTCACTATCTATAACAGGGGTGTCCAATCTTTTGGCTTCCCTGAGCCATATCGGAAGAATTATTATCTTGGGGCCACACATAAAATATACTAACACTAATGATAGCTGATGGGCTTTAAAAAAAAAAATCGCAAAAAAAAAACTCATGTTTTAAGAAAAGTTTATGAATTGGTTTTGGGCTGCATTCAAAGCTGTCCTGGGCCACAGGCAGCACAAGCCGAAGGCTGGACAAGCTCACACTACAACCTTCTTTCATCTCCTTTCGGAAGGAAAGTGGCCTCAAACAGGGAATATGCAAAAGTTAGTCATTCTCCTTCCACAAGTCTAGTTATATTATGAAAGAGGTCGACTTGGGTTGGCAAGTCTTGCTTATGATAAGCCCATCAGCTATCATTAGTGTTAGTATATTTTATGTGTGGCCCCAAGATAATAATTCTTCCGATATGGCTCAGGGAAGCCAAAAAGATTGGACACCCCTGTTATAGATAGTGACTGAAGGGGCCACTTAACTTGGTAGTTGGAGAAGGTCTCTCTGATGAATTGACATTTGGAGCTGAGACCTGAATACAAGAAAAAAGCCAGTCTGGCAGGATGGGAAAAGTCATTCCTGGAGAGGGAACAGCTAGTGTAAAGGCCTATAGCAGGTGTGAGCTTGGCACGCTCACAGAGCCAGAAGGATGCCAGTGTGGTTGGAGACTAATGGCCAAGTAGGAGACTGGCATGAGAAACAAGCAGAGGTCAAAAAACTTCAGGGTAAGGCCATACAAGGAGTTTGGGTTTTATAGTAAGTAAAACAGTAAGCTAATGGAAGGTTCCAGTCGTGAAAATGACACAATCTATGTTTAAAAATGACCTCAGCTGCTCTGGGATGAATAGATGGTAGGGGTACAAGAAATAGTATCAGTGAGACTAAGAGGCTATGCAATACTGCAAGGTGGGAGATGGCAAGTGGTCTGCACGAGGATGGAGACATCAGGATGTGTTTTGAAGACAGAATCGTTAGGACTTGCTGATAATCTACACGTGGGAAGTGTGGACAAAATGGGATCAAGGATGATTCCTAGCCAAAATGGCAGCAGATGAATTATTGAGCCACTTTGCACAGATTCTTTCATCACTCCCTCACTACAAATATCCTTACCATCTCTTTTATCATCATTATGAGGCCAAATACTATTATTATCCTAGTCTACATGGAGAAAATCAAGAAGCAAGGTTTGGGAAGGTCAAATAACCTCTCTATGGTTATACAAGTTGGTAATTGGAACAAGATTTGAACTAAAAGGAGTCTGGAGTCCCAAGTTTGTCTGTGAACTACACTCCTATACCAAACCTCGATTATACAACATAGGCAC